GTAAAATGCGTCATCTGGCGAATTTCTGATGTACATTTCTGTTGTTATAAAATGCATTTCTCATATTTTCGTATGGGGAACTGCCGGTCTTGCAGGGGAACTGACGCACTTACGAGACCTGTGAACAATTGACACCTCAAATTAAGTGTGAATCATTACTCCCGGGGAAGCTCTGTTTCGGGAAAACTACGGTATTTCCGTGCCATGTCGTGCCGGTTCGGGCATTAGGCGGAGTCCCGCAGGAAACCGCCCAGTTTGATTTTGGTTTCTTCCCTAAATAGATTTTGATTGTATACAGCCCCACCAGTAGCTGTTCCCAGCTCTGTGTCTAGCATCAAAAACAACAGAATTTACTATTTCGTAAAAAAAGCTATATAATGTACTCATTCCAGTGTTCAAATTTCCCTTTATATAGGGGTAAACTACTATGTCACCAACATTCCAGTTATTGATGTCATATTCAAATGCTTTCTTTTGTTCACATTGGATGCAGAGGCACTACAAGATGTGATGAAAATAGATTCCCACACAAATATTTGCACAGCACAAAATGTTTTTGTGGGCATTTTTATATGTTATCTCCCAATAAATTGACTACAAGCAAAAAAATGATGTATAATAGACAGTTAATCACAAAAATACCACAAAATATAAGCACAGATCACTCATGCTTAATTAAAGGCCCTGAGAAGAAAATAGGTTATGCAAATTTAAAGATATAAAATATAAACATTATGAATGTGATATTGTAAAATGATCACTAACTGTGTTCATTTTCTTTATTTGTAGATTGGGTGATTACAAGTGAAGACAGAAGCAAACACGATGCTCAGTTCTTTCAACTCAGACCTGTTAATGGTTTTATTACCGGTAAGCGGAAATATTGTATTACCTTATTTGCTTTATTGTATTTGTTGTGTACTGAATCATTAAAATATGATTTAGTTTCATCATTGACACTCCTGTGATAGCACATGCAGCTATCAATAGAGCAAATACAGTAATGTAAATCTTGTATTTTCACCTAGCATGTGTTTAGCTTATCAGTTTATTTTCACTTATAAAGTTGTACTAGTCTATTCTGACAATGATATTGCTTGTACTTTAGTTAAACTATAGACAGTGTACCGTTAAAATCCTAATATAAACCGCGGTTTATATTACAATGTATCAAATAAAAAATTTGGATCAACAGCTCAAGTTCGGGGTGCGGTTTCTATTACGTACATATTGCAATCACTAAATGGGCGTGGTCATTTTTTCCCACATCACTTGCACAAAACAAACAATACACCGTACAATCTTTCGAATATAAGCGTAACACCAATTTAGATGTCAGGGAAGAGCGATAAGCGTCACGTCACAAAAAAACTGTTCACATGAAAAAAAAATACTCAGTATATTTAATGTAATATGCATTTATTTTTTTAATTTTCTTCGTAACGGAAAGTATATTCTGACAGGAGCTTCTAATAAAAACAAGCATTAATGCATTGCTTAGTAGAAAATGATCATGGTATGGCACTAAAAAAGTACGGTACCGTGGGTACGGTAACGCAATCCGGCCATGCTTCGACTCACAAGTGAATAACTTACCTGTTTTCAAAGTGTTGAAATTGTTGATTATTACTCAGTAGTGATTATAATAACGCATGAAAAATAAATTCGTTGAATTGTTATCAAATGCAAGTAAAATTCAACTTAGTTTCACCGTAAGCGAATTATTTCGGTCACATGTAAACGATCGATGTGCTACAACATCGCCATGTAGTTTGAATACCACACGACACGTTACTTGACCGGATAGGTCAGGTCGCTAATTAACCAATCAAAATGCTGGATGGTACCCACGTGTTCAAATTACCTTAGTCATTTAAATATGTTAATGACAGGTCACCGACTTCATGGTGAACGAAACATGGAAGTGATTTACTGATAATGTAGTGCGATCTTTTGACTTTGATTTCCATGGGAAAATGACATGATTTTTTTTTTAATCAAGAAATTAGTTTTCGAAAGATAAACTGAGCATTGAAAAAGAATTTAACAGTTTTTCGGTGATAACAGCTCATTGTCGAAAACTTGCGACACACGGACATAAGGAGTGTTGACAAAAGTTGTCGCAAGAACAAAAGCAGTTTCACTGCGTGTTTGACATCCTAACACTACTGAAGAATAAAGAGGTGTGAATAGTTTTAGGCACACTGTCGAAACAAATGAATAGGATTAGGAACAATGTACCAGCTGGTTCAAACAAAGTCAGTCACGGTCTTGTTGAATTGGGGGTGCGGTTAGTAATAGGTTTTCATGTTTTCAATTTTTGTTGATAACTCTTTAACACTGAAGCCGT